ATTCAAGGGTGAAGGTTTTTGGCCTGAGCACAGAGATGCATAGAGTTTCCAAAGACTGGGATGGTGATAACTATGGAAAGAACAGATGAGAAGCAGAGTAAGGACAGGACATCTTAAGTTTGAGATGTCTGTTAGACATCCGTGTGGAGACAGTGAGGAGACACTTGCATAGCTGGGGCTGAGGTCAAGGGCTGGGAGTCTAGAGTGAAGACATACATTTGGGAATCTTCACTGAACAGAAGGTACTTCAAGATGAGAGACTAGATAAGATCTCCTAAAGAGTCTCAATGGGTGTAAATAAAGAGAAATGGTCTGAGGCCTGTACCCTGGGATACTAATATTCAGAAATCAGGAAGATGAGGAAAAACAAAGACAGCTGAGGAAAGGGCAGTGGGATAGCAGACCCAAGATAAAGTAATGACCTAGAAGTCAAAAAAAAGTAGTATTTCACGCCAGAAAAAGTGTCTGACGGACTTCCCTGGTGGCAGATTGGTTAAGAATCTGCCTGCCAATGCAGGGGACACGGGTTCGTGCCCCGGTCCGGGAAGATCCCACATGCCGCGGGGCGGCTGGGCCCGTGAGCCATGGCCTCTGAGCCTGCGCGTCCGGAGCCTGTGCTCCGCAACGGGAGAGGCCACAGCAGTGAGAGGCCCACGTACCGCAAAAAAAAAAAAGAAATAAAAAGTGTCTGACAGTACCAAATGTTGTTGAGGATACAGAACAACAGGAACTTTCATACACTGCTGGTGGCAACATAAATTGCTATATATACCACTTCCTAGGTCATATACTGGTCCACAGTAACTCCTGGATCTATACTCCAGGAGGCATGAATAAGAAGGCTCCCAGCAACAATGTGGGTGGCTGCCAAAAAATAAGAAGAATCCTAATGTCCTTCAAAAGCACAATGGATAAGTTGTAGTATATTCATAATGGATACTATATAGGTATAAAAATGCACTATAGCTATATGCAATAACATGAATATATCCCAAACAATGCTGGACAGACAGACGTCAGTCACAAAAGATTAAACTCAATATGATTCCATTTCTAAAAAGTTCTAGGCAATATCCAATTAATTGTTTAAAAAGCACACAAAGGTGGAAAAGCTTTAAAGAAAATCAAGGAAACAATTATCAAAAAATCAGGAATCGTAGTTCATGGGGCACGGAGGTGATGTACAGGATAAATAAATGGCTTCTGAGAAGGTGACAATGTTCTGTTTCTTAACTAGGATGGTGATTATATGGAATTGTTAAATAATTACTTGTTTTTAAATTTATTTATTTATTTCTGGCTGTGTTGGGTCTTTGCTGCTGTGCGTGGGCTTTCTCTAGCTGTGGTGAGCAGGGGCTGCTCTTCGCTGAGGTGTGCGGGCTTCTCATTGCGGTGGCTTCTCTTGTTGTGGAGCACAGGCTCTAGGCATGCAGGCTTCAGTAGTTGCGGCTTGCGGGCTGTAAAGCACAGGCTCAGCAGTTGTGGCGCACGGGCTTAGTTGTTCCGTGGCATGTGGGATCTTCCCGGACCAGGGCTCGAACCAATGTTCCCTGCATTGGCAGGTGGATTCTTAACCACTGTGCCACCAGGGAAGCCCAAAATAATTACTTTTTAAATGATAAATATTTTATACTTTTATATATACGTGCCATATCTCATAACTAAATATACCAGAAATAAGTGTTCATCTGTGTCCAGTGTTGCTGAAAAGCTGCCTAAGATGAGTACTGAAAGCTAACCACTGAACGCAATAACGTGAAGGTCACAGGACAGACTTAGGTAGAGTGACAAGGAAGAAAGGCTGATTAGAATAAGTTGTGTTTTTTTTTTAACTTATTAATTTATTTTTGGCTGTGTTGGGTCTTCATTGCCGTGCGCAGGCTTTCTCTAGTTGTGGTGAGTGGGGGCCACTCTCCGTTGCGGTGCGCGGGCTTCTCATTGTGGTGGCTTCTCTTGTTGCGGAGCACAGGATCTAGGAGCAAGGGCTTCAGTAGTTGCAGCATGTGGGCTCAACAGTTGTGGTTCGTGGGCTCTAGAGCACAGGCTCAGTAGTTGTGGCGCACAGGCGTAGTTGCTCCACGGCATGTGGGATCTTCCCGGACCAGGGCTCAAACCCGTGTCCCCTGCACTGGCAGGCGGATTCTTAACCACTGCGCCACCAGGGAAGCCCCTAGAATAAGTTTTAAAGAAAGTGTGGAAAAGGAGAAAGAAACAATAGGCCGCTCTTCCTGAAGGTACTGCTATAAAGGGGAGCAGAGAAATGGGAGGAAGCTGCAGGATCAAGGGGGAGTTAAGCTTTGTCTTTCAAATGGGAGGCATTATAGCAGGTTTTTATGCTGATGAGAATGATCCAGTAGAAAAGCAGAAAAGGAGGAAATGACGCTGGTGAGGAAAGAAAGAACTGCTAGAATAATGTCCATTTGTAGACAAAAGGGAATGTGATATAGTGGACAAGCAGAAAGGCTGGTCTTTATTCGGTCAAGGGAGGGAAAGCAAAGCGCATGAGTACTTAGAGCAAATAAGGTCATCAGACGAGAGGGAGGCCTGGGGAGGGAAGTGTGAAATGACAGAAGATTTGCAACAGCTGTCTAGGAAAACTGGGGAACTCTAGACTTTACAGGATGATTTCCAGCCAACACAAACAGTCTACTTAAGGTTAATGTCTGAAACTTAAAGGGAAAACAGTTAAGATGACTATGTATTTTTTTCTCCAACGATGTCCAACAACCTGGTGTAGGCACACAGTTGGATTTCAACCAGAGCTGTCAGGAAGACAGGATCAACAAAGTGAAGGTATATGCTAGGGCATGATTATTAATGACAGACCACGTGAATATAAGCAGAGAAGGGACAGAAGTGAGTACATGAGGAAGGAGAGGGACTAAGAAAAGTTAACAGAATCAATGGTGAGGTTCGAGAATTGGGGCAGGAGGACTGCTCCTGACAGTATGATGATGAGAGGCGGTTTACAAAGTGGGATTCTTGAGAATGAATTAGGGAGATGGCACAGGTACAGTTATTGAAGACAAGGTCTAGGATATGTCCACAGAATGGGCACCTGAGGTAAGGTAGAAAACAAGGTATTTGTGGTAGAAGAAGTCAAGGAATTAAGAAGTCAAAATTCTGAAAAAAAAAAAAAATCATCTAAATGCATATTGAAATCACCAAGAATTCTAAGAATAAAGTTTAAAAGCAAATGTCAGGAGGCTAGGTGGTAAAAACATGCAAGTATGAGGAAGACTGCAGCAAGTGTCTGGAAGCAATGACCTTGGCTCCCTCATCTTATAGCTAAGGCACAGAATGTGTAGGTGACCTGCCCAAGTCATGTAGCTAGTAACTGACAGGGCTCAAATGGAAACACCAACTGTCTGGTTCTATTTTAAGCTATAAATTGACAGACCAGCAGCTCCCAAACTCTTGAGAAAGACTGTTGATGTTAAAAACAAAACAAAACAAACAAAAAAAAAACCCATAAAAAACTAAGTCACGTTAACAATAGATATACTTTTACTATCTAGAGAAAGAAAAAATACAAAACCCAAAGAACTGCTATGAATTCAGTGACTGAAATAAAAATTTTCATTATTAACCATAAGAACCTACACATATATTTGAGACATATTTATTCAATCATTTATTATATATTTATTCAGTCATTCAATCCAGAGACATGGTTATGTGAATCTCTTTCAAAAATTCTTTGCTGCTGTGTGAGCACCCTCTGGAAGAGAACAGCTTTCATTCCACAACATTTCTTGAGCATTGGTTTTGTAATAGTTATGTGGTGAGGTCTGGAGGATTCCTTACCCTTGAGGAGTTTACAGTGTAAGGCAGTGATTCTCAAACTTTTCAGTCTCAGGACCACTTTACCCTCTTAAAAAATTATTGAGCACCCAAAAAACTTTGTTTTGTGGGTAATATCTATCAATATTTAGAATATTAGAAGTTAAAACAAAAAAATTTTAATGCAATATACAAAAAATTTCATTAGCCATCAGAGTGACGATGCCATCACAGGTCATATACAGCTTCTAGACAACTGTACACTCATGAAAGACAGAGTGGAAAGGGTGAAAAAACAAAGCCTTAGTATTACTATGAAATAATTTTGATCTGGTGGACTCCCTGAAAAGTCTTTAGACCCACTGGAATTCCAGTGTTTAAATAAATAGATTGGGCCATTCCACTATTTTTGTCATATCAAAATTGTTAGAATAATAATATCATTTGTGGTAGGTGGGTTGTCCCAGGTGAAAATATGGTGTTAAACATCCCACCTTCTAGTATAAATAGAGATGAAGGAAGGAAGGGAGGGAGGGAGGGAGGAATGTTTTTTGTGGCATAATGAGAAGAGTAAGTGGATTTGCATTTGAGTATCTACTGTTTCCAGGCACTGAATTGAGCATTTTAATCTGACAACAGCCAATAAGGTTGGAATAATATCAGTACATAAAGTGATGAACTAATCGCTCAAGAGCTAAAGCTAGTAAGCAGGGGCGCTATGACTGGAACCAGGTCACACTGACACTAACGCCTGTGCTCTTTCTGCTGAAACTCTAATCTGAGTTCACACAGACTAGTACAAATGGAAGACAGTCCTGAATTTTCCAATACACTTTTCTCCTCCTCTGTTTTTGTTTTCTCTTTCTTGGTTACATTAACACTTCCAAGTATGACAAGATCATCAAACTGATGAGTGACCGTGACAACGTCTCCTCCTCGTTTGTGACTTTTCTCTTCGCCTCAGACCAGCGGTTCTCAAAGTGTTGTCCCTAAGTCTATGCAGTAATGGAATCTGATCAACATAGCCAAATGAGTTCGTCACTAATAAGAATAAATGACAGCAAGCTGATGTCACTAATGGGATGGAAGAAAACCAATAAACGTTCTTATATGACTTGGGTTAAAAATTAAGTTCTCTCAGCTCTAACAAGAGACGCATCCCATGGCCATCTCCATCACTGCACACATCCAACCCCAATAAAAACTTGCACACTCACCTTCTTTATCAGTAACTGACCAGGAATATTTCTGAAAAGGCTTACTAGATGGAAGGGGGTCCATTTCCAGCACTTTATAAATCTGGCCAAAGGCTGATAGTCTGAGTGCATGCTAAAGAACAAAAGATTGTATTTATTCAAATTTCAAATGTTTCATTCATAAAGCCCTTAGAACATCTAGCTAAAAACACATTCATCAAATACTATTATTATGATGACAAAAGTCCCTAACAGCAGGCAAGAATAAAGTGTTTAAATAAATTACATGATATCCCTCTAATAGACCACAGTGATATGGCCCATCTCATACCTGTGCACTGTGGGTAATATCTTCTTTTTGTTGGATGGTCATATAGCTCAGAGCATCTGTTGGGTCCCTCTCGCAAGGATCATGAAGACCAGGACCCCCTTTAGCAAAGGCAAAAGAAAAACTCAAGTATCATTCAGAACTGAGTTTAGAATTCAATAAACTAACACAAAATAGAAAGAAAAGAATGGAGAGAAAAAGAAAAAAAAACCTAAGGAACGAGGTTAAAAATCTCCTCAATTTAAATGGAGTAAAAAGGACACTCATTTTCAGTATGTTAGCATATAAATGTCCTTATTTTACTAGAAGTCACTTGTATATCTAAGGTCGAAATTGGGTTTTAACTCTGAGAATTTAGAAATGGCATGATGAATCATCCCAAATCTTTAAAGGGATTACATATGGAAAATAAGACCAAATTTAATTTTTCCAAATTAATCACCAGATTGCAAACAGAATGAACTTCATACATTTTAACTCAACATAAACATTTTCAAATTCAAAGCTCTAGGTGAAGCAAATTCATAGCAGACACAATATCTTATTAGTACCTTTTATGTTAGTACATATGGAACATAAATTACAATTATTGAGAGAGAGTTTTATGGCACTTCTCCAACATTCAAGCATTCTAGTTGCTAAAATTCCAAGCAAAACAACTCCTACACATCATTTCCCTGGGCAGAGGACAAACTTAGCACATAATAGAAAACTAAACTAAAATGAAATTTTTCTGATTCTTCTGCCTCCAGAGTTTGAAACCCTTACCAGGAAGTAGAATTCCAGATGCCAAACACTCCATTACTCGTCTCAAGGCCTCCCCAGCGCCCAAAGGTCTATTACAAGTACCTATAGACTTTTCACATATAAGCTCTAGTGGCTAGAAGATATTAAATTACAAATTAGTACATGCACCAAGTGTTAAAAGGATTCCAGTTAAATGTGAGCTGACATTTCTATCTACAATGGAGGCCAAAAAGGTTAAAGTCCATTTAACATTTAGGGCCCAATTAACTTTTCCCACTTGATTATCAACTTTTACCCCAGCCAGAGTGTTTAAATCAACCATTTTTGAGATAATATATTCAGAAGACATTTTGTCACCAAAACTTTATTTTTATTTACCCTGAAAGGATTACTTAAGAAACTGCAGTCATCTAATTGACTTAACAAAGTTTTAACAAGCCTTCATATAGGTTAGTAATAGCCAATAAATAATCAGTGTTCAAACCCAGCCCACCTATATCTCCCACTTAACCTAGGAAGCGCTCAAACCACAGTAAGACTTCATTTCAGACATCCTGCCCCAACTATTACAACTGGAATTAAAGAAGGACCAAATCTCCATATTTAATAAACTAAAAACTCACGATGCCAATATCAAAGTAATAATTGCTAAATTAATTTACAATGACCCTTTTATAGCTTTATTTGTTTTATAATGTTCTTTATTGGGTCTTAATTGGTTCAAGCAAAATAATTTCCAAATTAAGTAAGTTTGGCAATATACATTATAAACTACAGTTAAGTGTACTATTCACCTGACTTCAATTACTAATATGAACTTATTTTTAAGTGTCTATACTCAAAGAGAAAGAAAAAGAGGGTAAGGGAGCCTTACACTGGTATACCAGGTAATTTTTACTTTAAACGGAAGTAGCACTGAAAGAGAAACGTGCCAGTCACGCAGGCTTTCCTGGGCAGTAGGTGAAGAATAATCAACCATCAGTGCAGAGTGAAGTGCAGGAAGACACTTACTTTTAACAGGTATAGAAACTTTTTGTCAGAAAAAATAGCTCAGTCTGTATAGTATGAATATGATGAAGTAGAAAAGTTATATTCATAAAAAAGAATTCATATAAAAAGATCCATAATTTTTTTCCAGAACAAAAATAGATAATGCACACCTTAGCTAACTCAGAATATAGCCATTTTACAGTAACATATAATTTCTACAGGATTTCCTCTAACTATAGCTTCAGAATGTGCTTTTAATCATATTTAAGTACTTACCCATCCTTTTAATGGTGCCCATGTGGGGACTCTGTTGCACAAATCACGCAGAATTCGGAGGACAATTACGCATGATTTTAATCCATTTGCCCTTGCCTAAAACAAACGAAATGGTTCCAATATCCCTGTTGAAATCCACCCTTAATTTTAAGGACACTGATCACGGATAGGTTCTTTAAAATGAATACTAATTAGTTAGTCATTCATAAATTGTCAAGTAAACAAAAAAATCAAGTTCTTAAGAGTAGTAAAATTATGGTTTAGAAAGGCAGGTTTTAAAGTAAAGGAAGCATATTATTAAAGTCACTTTTATAGCCTCATGGCCACCCCATTTCCAGGCAACTCTGTCTGAACTTTTAGCTTTTCTCACCCCATGTTTGGATTTTATAAGCTATCATCTGAAATTCAGAGTACTAAGCCAAAAAGGATCATGTGATAATTAAATATCACTAACTACAGGAGAAGCTATACTGGGCACTTTACCTAAATTAAAGCATTTGCTCCTACAATAACCCTAAGAGGCAGAGAGCACCCCTGTTTTATATATTACACAGAAACCATTAAGAGGCAGGTGTTCCAAATGAAACCTGCACAAGGCTACAATAACAATAAGATAATAACAAAGAGCCAACCTGAAACCATTTGGCATGTCGAAGAGACGCCAAGGCGTTCAGGCATTTCTGCCTGTCCAATAAGTCCGGAGGATCTTTCATCGCAACCTTTTCTAATGGGAAAATGGGATAAAGAGAGACAGATACAGTTTGACCAAGGGGTTCCTGTCAAATTACCAAACGATAAAAATAAAAAGAAGAGCAGCATTTGAGTGAACTAATAAGACTCCCAGAAGATTTCAGGTTTTGGCTTTGTTGCTTTCTTTTTAAATTATGTGCACTATGATTACTTAAGTAAACAGTCAACAGAGCCATTCTGCACACAAGTCCAACAGGAGCACAAAGGCATTCGTTCAGTAAACAAATCAATGACCACTGCTACATCCAATCTGGGATCTTATTAAGCATGTATATAACACCACAGGGCACAAAATAGGTACATAGCACTTTTTCCTTTGGCAGGGGACAAAGAGTGGCAATCTGGGACCACTAGCAATAACAATTTTTCGCTATAGAAGGGATTTTAATCACTAATCAATTCTTAAGGAAAATTAGGGCTCTCTTAGGTCATCAATCTGAGATATACTAAGAATACACTGAGCATGGCAATTTTATTTTTTTACAACTGAATAAACTCATCCAACAAGATAACCATTAATAGAAACTTTACCCCACTGATGAGAACTCTGCCAGTGTTACCTTGGAGTTTTCTAATTATTTCTTTTCTAAACCAAAATTATTAAAACTACAAATATGAAAAACACTGAAATACACTTCAAGTTTTACATAGCTTTTTTTCAAAAAGCAGCAAAAAATACTATCTAAGTACAACTATTTGACTTGCCTTAACATTTCAAAGTTGGATTAGATGGCCCAGAGCAGCAAAATTAAGAACTCAAATGTGTGATTAGTGACAAACATCCACATTCGAGAAGCTGTCACAAGATACTAAACCCACGTTTAGACAGCCAAATTCATTTCCTCTAAGCCACTAGGAAGTGGGTTTTTAAACTTTTGAAGACTTGGTGCATTACTTAAATGCATACAACATACAAATGTTTCTTGGAGAACAATTCTTTGACTAATCCAATTAAGTCATATTCACCATCCTCTTTTAAGAACTCTCTTAGCAAGTCCACCAACACTCCTTCCTGGTATAATCATGACAGTCACAAACTCAGCAGTATGTCTATGTGGGCTTTCCTTATTGGCTGCAACACGTAAAGGCTGAAGTGCTACACACTTATTTTTTGACCAGGCGAGCTCTACAGCAGTTACTTGCATTGTTTCACATTAATCTCTGCCAACAAATTCAAAACACGGGGTTTCATTTCATCACCCCTTTTTACTCATTAAATGGAAAGCCTCAAAAAGAACTGTTAATATGTTTTTATTTATAAACATAAGCAAACATACTATGGGTACTTATTTCATAGGTGATCTAGTTCCTGGCCTTGCTTAATTATGTCTTTTTAATGACACAAAGCATACAACTCACTCATTTTCATGTTTATATGTGAAAATGTTTAACTGTGGTCAATACAAGCATCTGTGTAAAGCTCACGTACAAGGTAGCACAAACTACTGTAAATGAACAATTAGGATCTCTTAAAAGTTAGACATGACAAAGGTTGACTGACTGCTAAATAATGTAATCCCAAGAAAAGGTATGGACCGTGCTTATTTTTTAGGACTTCAATCTTTAAGTTAAGAGTAAAGCAAACTAAGTTTTATTCTATCATTGTATCAAGTAGGAGTATTTGGAAGTGGAGGGTCAACGGAAGAAGGGAGTGAGTCAGAGGAAGTTTGGATAGGAAAAGACAAGGCAAAACAACTCTTTGAACTTTCTGATACTTTCGTCCAGTGAACAGAGCTTGTAATTAACATCTGCTCATCACCACAGAGACATTTTTATTTAATGGCAAAAATGTTTAGACAAATACTTTCATTCCCAAAGTCAGATTATATCCATTAATTCTAAAAATTCTAAAAAATAAAAATAAAAATACTGACATCTGCTTGCTACAGACAGTCAACATTTGGAGGCAGCAGATTCTACTAAAAAGAGATGAAAGGGACAGGCAGTGAACAGAAGACTTCCACCGGATTCCTTTTTATATCACCATCACAATGGCCATGTTTCTTTTCTTCATGCTCTGACCATCAAAAAGTCAAAAGATCCAAAATGTTTCAATATTCATGAGGTGGGAAACAGCAGAGGAGATGTAATCATTTATCTTATTTTATCTTCTTCAAAGTTTCTTATTTTAAAACTATATAAATTTATATGGCACTGCAGTGCTACTTATAAGCCCTGCTTGCCTATTTCCTTTATATAATTAATTACATAGTTTTTTATATTTTCATTCATTAAAAAAAATAATTTACTTAATGTGGCAATCACAGGATTGTTGCTGGAAAAACACTGCTACTTCTCAAAGAAGAACCTCAAGTTTAACATTTCTGTGTGAACTTTAACATAGATGTTTCAATTTTGCGGGGAAGCAAAGCTTTTCTGATAAAAAGGCATCTTGGAGTCTTTAACTTAGAAACAATGGAACTGTGAGCCATTTCATTTTTTCCTACAGTGACCAGTAAAACAGATAGGGGATAGCAACAAAAATGACAAAAGCAAAGAAAACAGCTTTTTAAAAACTTCACTGCTCAGTAACCTGGTATCAGGGCATGAAGGTACATAAAACATTCGAAACAATGGAAGCACTGAAAAGAAGTCTATTATGCCTAACTTCATTTATTTGGTTAGAGGTTAGATCAGTGACCAGAAACACACCGTATGGCAGGAAATGCTGGTCAGTTTCCCTCCATCCCTTACATGCAAGCTAACTCTTTGCCCGTTCACAAAAACACTAGCCTGGAGATGGGGTGGGGAAAAGCCAGAACATGACTGTGTTAAATAGGATTTCTGTGCCTGGAACCTGGGCTCTTCAAAGGTAAAATAACCAAGCTGAGTTATCACGAAGGCCTCCTTAACATTTCAAAGTTGGAATGAAGCTGAGCTACTGAGCTGACAGCATTTCCAGGGTAGCCCGAAGATACTCATGCAGTCCCTTCTCCTAATTCCTTGAGGCTTTGCGGAGAGCAGACATTATGCTTCAAGTCACTGCCCGTGCGAAATCTCAGGCCACAATAATGTGAACAAGTAAATGTAGCACTAGGGTAAAACAGAGCACTGTTCTCCTACTTTATGGTAGAAACATCACTAGATATCACTTTTCTTCAGTGCCTCAGTAGGCAGTGAGCCACTGGAAAGATAGTGGCTACAGGTTTGCACTGGATAATGTAGGTCTAGCAGCTGGGGAAGGCAGGAAAATAAAGCCTGCAGCATTGTTATAAATCCTAGTTGTGATCTCTGGACTGGTCTGCCACCTAGCAGGACTCATGCTAGCGAACTTCTGCCAAAAAGCATCAGAAGTTCACACTGGCACAAATACGGAAAAGGGACTCTCGGGCAGCTTCTCTGTGAACCCCTGAGAATCTATCTTCATACTGAGGGCTGCGGTTTATCTTATTAGCCTTAGCCACAAGTGCCTCTGTAGTTTCCCTATCCACTTGGTTTCAAATTGCACTGTAAATACAATAAGCAGCTGGATTTATCAGCCTCATAGCAAATATACTTCTGGTTTAAAATCACAAGCACCAAAAGAAGCTTAGACTGTGTGATGCTCAGAATAACTAAATCAGCTAAGATGCTCCTATGATCATCCTAGATAGTAACTGGACTTAAGAGTCAGAGGAAACGGGTAAAACGTGAGACTTTCTTCATTTATACAACAGTACAATTATCTACCTCATAGAACTGTTGTGAGGGTTCAAATAAATCATATATGAGAAAGTGCTTATAACACAGTATGTTATAAAATACCTTAACAAAGCTAAATCTTCAATATATATTACTTGAATTCTGAGATGTCCACTGTTAATGCTTCTTGCATACCAGACAGTTCTATTTGATCAGATAATATGCTAGCTACAAAAATTCATTTAACAGATTTTCTTTTGATTGCCTACTAAGTATTAGGTACCACTCCAGGTGCTAGGGATAAAGGACAGAGGTAGGGAAAAAGACACCTGTCTCAATGAATCATAAACTTTATAGTAAGAGAGCTCATTATTAGCACTGCGGCAAATACAGTATACTGATTCCAATACTACACTTCAATGGCTATTTATGAGTTTAACTGTGTTTACGTTCACTTCTTCAGACCTATCATGTACATATTATTCTCACTGTGAACTCAAGGCACTTTGAGTAGATGAGTTTGTGCTGTGACATTTTTTAGTAAGCTGAGTAACTACTACTATTTACTAAGCAATCGCTTTGTGCTGAGTATCGTACAGGTTACATTACATAAATTCTCTCATGTAACAACTTTCTAAAGTATTCATTACCCACATTTTAAAATAAAGAAACCTGTCCAAGGTCACAGAGTAATAGTTAATGGAGTTAAGAATCAAACACTTGGCTGCCAGGCACCAAGGTCTGTGCTTTTTCTCCTGTGCCTTCTTTAGCAGGAAGCATGTAGTTATGGGGAATGGTTATTCTACAGGGCCTTCAAGTAAAGGGTTAGAATATGGAAAAAAGACTGGCGGCACAGGAGAACTCTTACCTTTGAAACATTAAACCACACCAAAGAGATTCACTATGTACTCTGGCCACTGAAAATCTAAACAGTGATTTGAAACGAGTAGTTAGATAGATCCACTTCTGCAGAGACAACCCTGAGGAGGTAAGTGTGATGCTCTTCACCTGCCCCAGTCCTCCAGTTCTGCCTGCTCTCGGACATTTTTTCCCTTTTTTGATTTTACCCAAATATGTGGCAAGTGAAGAGAGGGAAGAGAAAGACATAAGGTATGTATTGTGAACAGCCTGTTTGTTTTGTGGGAGGGGAGAAATTGAAATTCTATAGGAAAATGTCTCCCAAAAAGTTACAACGCCTATTTTTTTAAACTCTGAGAAAGAAAATGAACGCAGATTTTTTTAAAGAGATCTCTCTTAAACTCAGAAATCCCTGGAACCCAAATGAATCTTGTGCTTTCACCCCATGCAGCTGAAAAGAACTGCATCAAGGCAAGAGGAGCCATCTGGTGTGATAAAACAAATCCTACAGAATTGTATAGCCCAGATCTCAAATGCTTAGTTATACTGGATCCTCAAAGTTGCCCAGGAATACAAAAAACTGCTAGTGCAGATCAAAAAAAAACCTCTTGACAGGGACTTCCCCGGTGGCGCAGTGGTTAAGAATCCGCCTGCCAATGCAGGGGACACGGGTTCGATCCCTGGTCCAGGAAAATCCCACATGCTGCGGAGCAACTAAGCCCGTGCCACAACTACTGAGCCTGCGCTCTAGAGCCCGCAAGCCACCACTACCGAATCCCGCACACCCTAGAGCTTGCACGCCGCAACTACTGAGCCTGTGTGCCACAACTGAAGCCGTGTGCCTAGAGACTGTGCTCTGCAACAAGAGAAGCCACTGCAATGAGAAGCCCGCAATGAAGAGCAGCCCCCACTTGCCACAACTAAAGAAAGCCCACGCGCAGCAACAAAAACCCAACGCAGCCAAAAATAAATTAAAAATTTTAAAAAAACAAAACTTTGACAAAGTCCAAATTAGACAAAATGGGCAAATTATAAGAGATAACAAGCGAGTCAACAGGGCAGTGAGGTTAAGGAAAACGGCAAAGCAAATCTTTCTGCCATTTAAAAGGAGAGGAAGTAACGTGTAAATCATTAGATCCAAGCTGATTCTTTCATTTTACCTGATCCCACACAATTATGCTAACATCATCTGATGAGATTCATATTATAAAGAGGTCTTGGGATCCTTTAGTAACCCAAACACCTTGAATAGAGACTATAACTCTCCTACTCTCCTACAAATTCCATTCTGTAATAACTAGTCTTCTAGTAAGGGTGCAATATTCTAAGAATCTGTTTTCAGGTTCTCTGAACATAAAGTTATAAAGGCAACAGACTAAGCTTAAGGGCATCACTGAAAACTGATAAAATCCCATGTAAGTGCACAAAGCCATGGGGAAAAAGAAGCCTGATATTCTCAATACTTTTAAAGTAATGGAAGGGATGTCTACAGCTACAAGCAAACATTATCCAGTTTTCGGCGATTTCAAATCTAGACAAATCTAGCCTTTAGCAACTTCAATCTTCTTTCATCTCTCTATACTCAAAGAATTTTTAATAATATCTATAATTATAACTATACTTAGAAATGGTTAGTTTTACACTAGAGGGTCAAGAGAACACAGCTTACCAGAATTAACAGAATTATCTTGATACTTCAGAAATCATTTTATAGTTCTACAGTTAATGGTGAACTGTAAAGCTGTTAAAGAAATTAAGCCATTTAAGATTGGTTCTTCAGAGGTGTTAGAGATACTATATGCAGCCAAAAAAAAAAAGTACAGGCATAAACCTAATTATAGATAGGATGCATTTTAATTTTAAGCTATGACTCATAAATGTGTCTAGTTTATATCCGTCGGGTATGGTATAGCTGATTTTAGTTACCCCAGAAGACTTTTTACAAAAGGAGTCTATCACTTTTACTTTAAGAAATCCTGAGTCATGTCTGCCAAAACTCGAAATTCTAACATCTCTGGTAAATGTGTCTTTTTCTTCCTTTATCATCAACTTGAAATAAATTAAGACACTAACCAATACTTCTTGCTGCACTGGTATTTCAGGTAGGGGAGTAAGCAATGGAACCTGCTGAATGTCTAGTGATGAAAAAACAGCAACAGGTAGTCCCCCCCACCCCACGTTGGTCCAGTTAAGCCGCATTGCCTCTAAATTGTCATGATAGGGAGGGGCCAGTTGGTCAAAGGTCTGACACAGGGGAAATATCACATGGCAAGTTTCTAGTGACAGGACTGAGAGGCAGTAACAAGCTAATGTGAAAGGATAAAAATATCAAAAAAGAAACCCAGCTCCATCATTACTTCTCAAAACTGAAGAGATTTATCACTCTTTTGTACAATGGCATTGCCATGCAGAAATTCTTTTCAACTTCAGAAGAAAGTTAGTTTAAAGCATGATTCCCACACATATAAAATTTTAAATGTTAACAGGATCACAAACCTCCTAGAAAAGAAATTTACTAAAGGTTATTTATTAAAAAAAAATCAGTCCCCCAATTTGTATCTCTTACATTATAAAACATTTACACTTAGGCAATTAGATAAAGCATAATTCTTAAGAGGTTATATAGTTATTAGAAGTCAAGAGAGATGTGCAAATGAGTAACTTGACACAATAAGCAAGTAAATTTGAAAATAATACTGTTTTGAACCACATTTAAGCCTAAAATCAGACCTAATAACCAAGCCACACAGAATAGGTTGGCTGATACCAATAACACTGCAATACTAGACAAAGTAAAACAGAACACCAAAACAGTATAAAAATTAAAGTGGATTTAAGACCAACATGATAAGCACAGGTTTTTGAATTAATTAACGTATCTAATATTTCCAATATAAACATTTTTGTAAAATAGAGTGATTGTGTAAATAAAGCTGCTTAAAATACTCTAAGTGGCGTAAAACAAATGAAGACAGGTATTTCTTAAATCCATAAAACAATTAACATAGCATTCAAGAGAGTGCTTATGTGAACAAAACAAATATATATTTATATATATACATCTATCTATATATATATATATATATACACATGTGTACCTCCGTCCTTCTTCTCCAATTCGTCCCTAATTAGAGGGGAAGTAAGTATCACCTTCAAAGTTAGCGTGGGTTCTTTTGTATTCCGAATTATAATAGATGCCTCATCTACACATTGTTCCACTTGATATTTCTCTTCTGTGAGTTTCTGAAAGTCACAGAGATTTCAAAAATACCCAATTAATTAAAATTTCAAAAAATGAATGATTGCCCCTTAAGTTTTTAAATGTTATTAACGATTAGTATTACTGTGCTAAAAGAGCAAATAGTCTTTAACTAGTTCTTTAGTGTAGAGGTAACATTTTTCTCTCCTCCCAACTTACCAGCAAATCCTTTCTCCATCCCTCAAATAGCAACCACAATGTCAATCATCTATACAATTATTAAACAACATTTAAAACCATTCTTTCTAATATTTGAAAATGAAAGTTACCAAAAGCATCATTATATGAGAAAAGGTAAATTATTGTTCTTGAAATTATTACAGAGGACAAGTATAGAATAATAAACTCCCAGTTTAGAGAGCATTCCCAGCAGTTTATTATTCTATAATTGTTCCTCTGTACCGGTCCGTGGCCTGTTAAGAACCAGGCTGTACAGCAGGAGGTAAGTGGCGGGCAAGCAAGGGAAGCTTCATCTGCTCCCCCCCATCGCTCATATTACTGCCTAAACCATTGCCCCCCATGCACCCCCATGGAAAAACTGTCTTCCACAAAACCGGTCCCTGGTGCCAAAAAGGTTGGGGACCACTGCTCTAAACTGATAACTTTTTGATAGGACAGCCTAAACAGGAACTCCTACTTGCTAAGAACTTATAAGATTAGATAGGTTTTTATATAAGATTATGTAGATTTTTAAAGAAAATCAAATAAGAATGAATAAAAAAGGATCTCTGCACAGTCACTCATCAGCAAAAAAGTTAATATAAACAAGTAACTAACTTCCTAACAACAGGTCTCAGAGATCATTCAAGTGAGACCTTCTTCAGGGCAAGTCATCTGACATCCACAGGGAAATGTACATTGCTTCTTTTAACATACAATTATACACATACAAAAAATAATCACCAATTAGAATCATATATTGTTATATTTAACGTATCATTAAAGTTAATAGTTTAATAAGTTGTGCAGGGCCATTCTTGGTGGTGAAATTTAGTATCTATTATCTGACATAAATAGCTGAACGGTAACACTCCTGGGTCTCTGCTCATCACCGAGCATTGAAGGAACTAAAAGCCATTTATATAAAACCAGCATTTTACCATTAAACATCCCAAAAAAGACAGAAAATAGAAAATTCATTACCTTAATTTTGAACAGAGGAAACCAAGGAAGGGAAAAGCCACACAGTGGCTAGAAAAACCAGAACTAGAATACAGAGAAAAAGCAGAAAACGGCTCACATTCATTTTGCCACTATAAGAGTATTAAAGATGTATCAGAGAAAAAGCAAACTAAATTTTTCAATTTAGTTTGAAATTGCAAGTAAATTTCAATGGTCCAGTGATTAAGAATCCAACTTCCAATGCAGGGGACGCGGGTTCAATCCCTGGTCGGGGAACTAAGATCCCACATACCACGGGGCAACTAAACCTGCACGCTCTAGAGCCTGCACACCACAACTAGAGAGTCCACATGCCACAACTACTGAGCCCACGTGCCACAACTAGAGAGCCCACAGCCACTAGAGAGTCCACGTGCTGCAACTACTGAGCCCATGCGCCACAACTAGAGAGAAGCCCACGTGACACAATGAAGAGCCCGCACACCACACTAACACCCGACACAGCCAGATAGATAGATAGATAGATAAAATATTTTAAACGATAAAATTTTAAAAAATAAAAAATAGGTCTCATGTATATGTCTTAAAAAAAAATTATACATGCAGATCACCATAAGACACATCCAAAGTAATAAACATATGGTATGAGTTTTGGGCTAGACTAATTCTAAGTGATTCTGGTTTTGGTCATCCTTCTCCCTTGCTCAAGGAAGTACTAAAATCACCCTAGAAAAGAGTATGTAGAGAAAAGGTAAGGTACAACCCCAATTAATTAAGCTACTTTGATAACTGAAAGTTTTGCTATAATAAGTACTCAGGAAAAAGATTTTTAATTCACAAGAAAATAAGATCATATCATATCAGAGACTGGTTTTCCAAATAAACACCAAGAAAACAAAGGGGAGGTAGTGATTTTTAAAGGTAAAAATCACATTTAAAATGATTTTCTGAAATATTATTAGTAATAAAACTATGTCTGTGCTTATGTGTATATATGTGGGTGTATATATGTGTGTACATGTATACAATTTAATATAAAATGGGTGTACAATTACATACCCACCATTTTATTTGGGTACCTTTACCCAAACACCTATGGTCATGGATCTAACCATCACACAAAGCAGCCGGTTTCACTGCCGGATTACTCTATTGGCTATGGTAAATTCAAATATGTTTCTTTTTTTTTTTTCAGCAGTTTAAAAAAAAAAATTTTTTTAATACATCTTTATTGGAGTATAATTGCTTCACAATGCTGTGTTAATTTCTGTTGTTTCTTATAATGTCCACCACTGGTCTTAAGAGTTCAGGCCACCTTTACCTTTTCCAAGAAGCTCTTCAAGATCTAAAGATATTTGTGTCTTTTTTCGGCTTCTCTAGGCTAAAAAGCCCTCCTCTCTTCAACTTTGAAACAGTTTACACAGCCCACACTCTCTCCTGGGTCCCTCCCTTGAACACCTGCTAGCTCGACAAGAACATTTTAAAACTGTGGTGCCCAGAAATAAAGACCCTCACTCAGGAGAGAAAATGCAGAGTTCACACAGTTGTGATCTACACAGAGAAAGTTCTATTAATGCAACTGAAGCTCCAATCTTCTCTATCTTCAATACTCAAGAAATACGACAGATCGTCAGGATAAGAACTTCAGTTTCTTAGTGCAAATGGTTCTCAACCCTTTTTCCATCCTGACATACCTGAAAATATGACCACTCTCATAAACAGGACGCACTAAGTGGAACAGAAAAGGGGGTGAGATGGTTGGAAAAGCCTCTATGTCCAACCCTTTGATCACTGCTTTAGCATAAATCTAAGAGTAACAATGTTCACTACAATAAAAGCAGAAATAAAGATTAAATTTTAAAACAATATAAAAAATAATGGAAAAAAGATGAATTTTGTTAACATTCTGATAACAAAAAGTATAGTTATTCAGAAAACCGTTACTGAGCTTTCCATTTCTTAAAGCTTTATTGTACTCCATGTTGCTTACCACTCTCCCTCCCCAAATGATCACATAAGGATTTAAAATAATTTTTTAAAAGAAATGAATTTAACCCTTGAAAGAACAGAAACCTTTCTTCAATCAGAATTGAAAATGGAAAAGCCAAATGTTTGTTCAGTCACTTAGAAAACCTTAAGATCTAAAAATGATAAAATAAAACAGTGCTCCAGAAGTTAATACAGGAGAATGTGTCAACAAGTAACACAAATTTGAGTGTCAGGAACAGTAGATTAAAAAATCAGGAAGATGGTTTTGAAGATCAGTTGGTGAATATGAAAGAAAATGATCCAGTAACAACGCTAATAAAAACAAATTTAGAATTCATATTACTTGGGGGGAAAAAGTCTCTTTAGAAGAAATACAAATACAGGAAACCAACAACAAAAAAAGAGAGCATTCAACAACTCAACAGTTTGACCTTGTATACTCGTATCTATTTATGTGACATGGATGTAAAGACTAACTAATATGAAATCATCAAAAAGCTATAATCTAATTATACCACAGATAACACATCTGAAATTGAAAGGTGATCATTGCTTCCCAATTAGTGATGCAACTAGCCCTTGGAGCAGGCTGGCAGAGCAGGTCCTAAGGTGACCACAGCCCCAGATGAACCGGTTGACTTCAGCCCTGAGGAGCCCTCAGCCTCCAGCAGCATCCTCCAGGAAGCATGACAACATTAAAATTGTCTAAATGCATCCCAATGTGAAAAAGGTTTGGAAACAAGGAATTAATAGCGACTTTCCATTAACAGAATGAATGAGTGAAGTTAAATTAACAGTCTTCAATTTAAAAAATTATCATCTATGGAAGTCTCCAGTTGTCTAGGCTCTTTTTGATCTTTCAATTCTTTTCTGCATTATACCAACCTTTCTAAGAGTTTTATAATGCTGAGAGGCCTAGTCTGGAAAACATGAAGACTGTCAGCAAGACACATCTGAAAAATTTAAGACCGTACTTTAAGAGCCATCTTAATTTGGTAAATATATCCTTAATACTAATCACCAGAAGTTTGCCTTAGATGTGATGGATGAGTCACTGACCCAGAGTAGCAATTCCACTTGTCTGTACCTACCCTTTACTATTACCAATTTCTTATTAAATTTATCAAGGTCACGGCCTATTTTTACCTTTTTACAAATTCTCCTAGAGGTACAATTAAACTGTACTCACCTGAATCTGAATAGGAAGATTATCTTTGACTGTATTTAACAGGGTCTCTGTGGGTTTGTCTTTGCACATTAAAACCAGCTCCAAGTCCATATCATCTTTAATCAGCAAGCCTTTTGCAACCAGGCCAATCCTCATTACACCACATAATGTCCGACCACCTTGATCCCTAAAAATAAAAGTCTGAATGATTACTTTCACAACCTATTTCCCAAACTATAACTTCATCATCACTTGGCTTTCTGGCTAACCATATGAATTGATAAGGGAGAACATAAATCCAAATATCCAAAATTCTGCAAAAGTACATCTCAGATTTAAGGCTCATAAACTATCTACCACAAGGAATCAATAGGGAGAATATTTCAGACTACAGATCTTTCAATACTTTATTAAATCTGTATTGCTTAGGAAAATCCAAAAATACTGTATCCCCTTAAATATCTTTTCAATTTTTCTAACTTCCTCCTTCTGTCTTTTAATTAAGTAATTAAAGAATTGTGAGAAACATGAACACCATGGTATACTAAGAAGGAACATCAGGGTGGAAATTAAAAGACCTGAGCTCTACTCCTAGTGGTGCCTGCTGGCTCAGTATATGTAACTGTAAAATGGCTATCCACTAGATAAGCCTTAGCTCATCCCTTCTAGCTGTAGCATTCTAGGAATCCATAAAAGTTTCTGGGGAAAGGAGAATAATGTGATAAAAGTAAAGAGCTGAGGAACCCAAAGATGATCTGCCAACACAGGCATTCCATATCCAGTGGTAGCTAAAAGAACAAACATTCAAAGAACATCAAGTCATGAATGGTGTGTAAGAATACTGTTAACATCTATCCTTGATTTTAATACCAAAAGTTTCTTATTGGTTCATTTCCCTCAATCACAAGTGAAAATGTAACTAAACTGAGCGGTCATTCAACAAGCAAGCAACTGTTTGAGTATGGAAAACATACTAAAGGAGCTCCAAACTCTCCAGCTCCTGAGGCTCACACTGCAGACTAAGTACAAAAGCTGTTTAAAACCTGCTTCAAAGGGAAGAGAAAGGTGACATCTGAGAATAAACTGAGTGCCACAGATCTCATTAAACCTTACAAAGAGAGCCCTGTATTTGAAAGACAAGGAATGCGAATCTCAGAAAAAGTGATTAATTGCTCAAGTTCACAGAGAGAGTAAAATGGCAAAGCCGAGATTCAAACTCAAGTTGGTCTGACCATAACACTCAAGTTCTTTATATAATTACAGCTGCTTCCCAATTTCAGAAAAGAGAGAGGTCAAAATTAGAGAGGTCAAGCAAGGCAACCTGCAAGTGTGACTTCAGCAGAGTCGTGATTTGGTTAAATAGAAAAAAAGGTCATTCTAGCTGGAGGCAAAGAATCAGCAGAGTTGGGCCCAAGTCAGCAGAGTGGGGAATGAACTAGAGAAAGGAGAAGGGACAGAAGTAAATTGTGGCAGTGGAAACAAGACAGGAAGTTATAAATAACCCAGCCACGGCTCAGTGCCTGACACTCCTTAGAGATTCAGTAAACGTTAAATCAATGAAAAACTATAAGGGTGGTACAAGTATAGAAAGAAAGAAAAAGCATTTTGAAGGAAGTGAACCAAGTATGGAATTATTTGATATTAAGAATAGAGTCTAGGGCTTCCCTGGTGGCGCAGTGGTAGACAGTCCGCCTGCCGATGCAGGGGACACAGGTTCGTGCCCCGGTCCAGGAAGATCCCACATGCCGCAGAGCGGCTAGGCCCGTGAGCCATGGCCGCTGAGCCTGCGCGTCCGGAGCCTGTGCTCCGCAACGGGAGAGGCCACAACAGTGAGAGGCCCGTGTACCGCAAAAAAAAAAAGAACAGAGTCTCATCTTTGATTCTTTTTTCTTCTATATCCCTGTTCTTTCATCTTCTCATTCTCCCAAATCTAGTAACAGTTTTTTAATTGCCCCTCTGTAATCACCCTCAAACCCCTGCCTTCAAACTAGCTTATTTTCAGGCTCTTACTACCTCTTACCTAGACCACCTCAATAACTTCCTCTCCACTGGCCTTACTAAAACTAACCCCTACCATCTATCTCAGCTACTGTATGTACACAGTATGTTGCAACCAGAACAGTCTTCCAAAAGCACCACATGGATGGAACTCTGCCTGTTATTTTCCTGGTATTCCACTGAACACTTAGACATGAGCATATTGGGAGGCAATTGAGGAGACAGCATGACTTCCTGCTTCGAATCCCAGCTCTGCCACTTACTGTGTGACATTGGACAAATTACAAATTACTTGACTCTTTTGAGCCTGCCTTCTCATTTGTAGAAAAGAAATAATACCTTCCTCAGAGTGGTACTGAGAATGTCATTTAATTAGTGTAAGTAATGAACTTAGCCCAGAGCCTGGCATATATTAATAGCTCAATATTCCTTAAACAGTCCCTATATTTTCTCATACCTAGATCTTTGCTGAGATTTATTTCTTCTTCCACTTCCACTGCCTGACAAAACCCTACTCATCCTCTGGACCTACTGCAAACGCTACCTCCCTCATAAAGTTTTTTCTGATCCCCCGAACCAGCATATAGTCTCTCCCTGCTCTGTATTTTCACATTTTTGTCACAGATACGTGAAGTAAAGATGCTAAGAAAACTGGATCGGGAGTCCGACAGACTTGAATGTGAATCCTGACTCCACCACACACTCATTCACTGACCTTAAGCAAGTTAAAGTTTGTTAATGATTCTGAGTTCCTGTTTTTTCATAAGTAGTGGAAATCTCTTAAGTAAAATGGGGGTGGAGAAGGGGGATAACAATAATAGAGACTAGCAGGTTTGTTGTAAAATAATGTGAAAAGTAATCTGGTACAGTAATTGGCACTCAATAAATGGCAGACATTCTTAACTAGCCATTATTAGCTTGCTTATTAAATTCCATATCATAATTATGATATACTTGGTCTTATCATGTACAAGACAGCATGACTGAGCAGAGAAACTAAGTCCTAATTCAGTTCTGAATTTTAATAATGAATTTGAATATGACGTATTATAACGCAAGTGACCCAGATACAGGGAACTAATTAAAATTAAGCTAATATTCCTAAAATACAAATAGTGTAAACTTATTCAATTTATTTGACTTGTGAGTCAGCTTGCAAAGAGGTAAGGTAACAGCACACAGGTTAAAGCTGCCTACCAGTCTCTGGCAATAGGAGGTGCTTAGTAAATATAAGCTAGCTTTCCCCATCTCTATGCCCTCTGTAGTGCTTAGCATACTCCAGGAGCATAATACGTATCTATGACCAGAACACACCTCTGTCCTTGGACGCCTCTGTTCTAAGGACACGATCGTTCTGCACTCCTTGAGTTCTACCACATGGGAAGAACCATACACAAGTGCTCAACCCCGGAATGTTCCACAAACTGGAAACACTTTACAGAGACAATTGATAGCCTGCACACAGAGCACTCTATTTAAAGATCCAAACAAAGCACGGAGTATGTTATCTTTTAAAAACCTTGAATACTCAGTGACCTGATCCCGTTAAGCAGAAGTCTACTGGAGCACTTTCCAAAGGTCTGCTCAGCCTTGACAGCAAACAGAAGATGTATTTAGAAGGCCTGAACTTCACTGAAAAATAAAACTCCACTTAGAAATAGTAAAAATAGCATATTTTATATGTATTTTACCACAATAAAAAAAAAGTTTTTAAAAGGGTATAAACACATTCCAACGTGCAATTTAAATATGTAATGTGGTAACTCACTGGCGGTCCAGTGGTTAGGACTCAGCATGTTCACTGCCATGGCTGGAGTTCAATCCCTGGTCCACGAACTAAGACCATGAAAACCACACAGCGTGGCCAATCAGTCAATCAATAAATAAGGAATGCACGACGATTTCACCTGCACAGGGACTGGGACTTAACTTGCACTGGGAATGGGCTAGATTACTGGATGATACTACTAATTACCAAGAACCCCCAAATTTGACAGTATCTTTTTTAAAGCCATCATATGCAAGAAAAAGTGAATTACTGCCAAGAAACTTCTAGCTGACACGTCCCTGACTAGATACAATGTATATATTACCTGTAAAAAGCTAACAAAGTCAAGAAAATACATTCTTCAGCTAAAAACTGATACTGATTTTCTTTCATCTGAAGATGGAAAGGTTACACTATCACTCAGTTAAAGATATCAATTTATTACTACCTTCCCACTATTAACTACTTATCACAGATTTAGAATTGAAAGCCTGAGAAAAAATTCTGTAACTTCTATCCTCAATTTACCAGTTGCAGCCAAAGTAATGTTCTTAATCCTATTAATACAATAGAGTCAAATGAGCTACATTTTTTGAAGTAAACCATACAATTATTCCAATCATAGTGACATTGCTCAAAACAATAACTCTAAGTTTAGCAAGGCATAAAAAGTTTCCTAGTTATCATTCAGCTTCATCTCATTAATCTCTTACTGTTGTTGCAGCACTGGGAATACTGTGCTATAATTGTTGAAGGGTCTGGCTCCCATTAGGCCTTCATTCATTCCACAAATACCCAATGAGCATTTACTATATGCAAGATACTGTACTGGATCCTGGAAATCAACAAGGCAGATACAGTCATAAAAACCTTTACAGTATATTCTCCTGCACTCTCTCTTCTACACCAGGATTTTTAAATACCTGACAAAAATGACATTCTATGATTTTCCCAGAGACCAAAAACACTACTATTTATTTCTGAATTTAGGAGGCTAAACCAACACATGAAAAAGATGACATAGCATAACCTCCAAAAAAGAGAAGTTTTTTTTAAAAGGGCTTGGTGCTTGCTCCCTCGAAAGGCATCCTGAACAGGTCTATCTTCTTTTTCTGGTCTAATCATTATTCCTTTCTTGCTTTCCCTGCAAATTTAACTCAGAAAAATTCCACAAACATTTACTTCCTTGTTTACAGTCATATAAATGAGAGAACCCAAAGAACACCAAACAGCAAATGTAACCCAGTGGGACGGGACCCTGGGCATTACAGGACAGCACCACAAATGTCAGGTCACACTCACTTGGAATAGGAGTCTACAGCCTCATCCTTCTTCACTTCTGTCTCACCCTCTGCTTTTGTGCCTTTATTTGTTTCATCCAGCCAATCCGAGACATGTTTAAGAGCACACTCAACAGTAGACACCATATTCTGAACAGCTTCAAGTTCCTCCGGAGACGGATAAATTGTTGAATGTTTCACCATAACATGGCGATCATCATTGGCAAAAGATCTAATAGATCTCTGTCAGAAGGTGAAAGGAAACTATTACTTCAATAAAAGAAATGTTACCTGAAAAGGATGACTTACAAATATATTTAAGTCAAGTCATAGCATTAATTGTCAAACTGCTGTGAAACAGTTAACACTGAGGCAATGAAAAACTGCTCAAGAAAGGAAGTAAAACCCCATCCTGCCAAACTCCACACCAGAAAATTAGAGATCTTTCATTCATATTTTGGAAGAGTTCACCCAAGTTACATTCAGTATTATGTATATGCCACATTTTAGCTCAATCTATGTGTTTTCAATACCACGTCAAAAAAGGTCATCCATATCACACATCATCTACAAGAAACAAGATACTTCCTAGCTTCGACAGAGTATCTAGAAATGCATGTGGGTGACTCATGATACCCAGTCACTCCTTTCCAAACTCCTGGACACTTCTGCATCTAGAAAAATTGAGATTTTGTAACATAGTAATAACACATAATACAAAGTTATATGTGAACAAGATAGTAAAACTATGGACCACATTAGAATATTATTTATTATTTGGCATTCAAACTTTGGTGTGCAGCTTTAATTTTTTAAATAGATTAGTAGGAGATATTCCAAATTCCAGAATGGGGAAAATACATATTGTAAAAGAATTAATTTTCCAAACTAATTTACAAATGTATTCACATTCTCAATCAAAATCCCCTCAAGATAGATTTTAATACTCAACAAAAATAATTTTAAAGCTCATTTTGGGTGGGGGGAGGGAAGTCATGAGTGTATCAAGAACTATTCTACAAAGGTGGATGGGTGGTACCATTATGCTAAAATATCAAAAATGTTAAAAGCAATAATTAAAATGACATGCTGGCCCAGAAATCAGTGGAACAGATTACAGCCTAGAAACAGAATGAATTTCATGAAAATTTAATAGAGTAGATCCTTCACACTCATGAGTCACACATCCAAAAACCTTTGAATATTTCCAAATTTACAGATACCATAAAGACACTTGTACCAGTACAGAGCAAAATGAACAAGGAAAACTTGGTGAGTTTCCATAAAGCCAAAAGTATTTGACTTAAAGGGTGGCTACAGTGCCCTAACTTACATGAAATTATGTGCTAGCAGACAGGAAATATTTTGTTTTAAAGTCTTTACTGCAAATTAATATATTTGCAATGCTTTATCAGTCTTTTTTGTTTTTGTTTGAATGTCAATGTTTTAAAATCAGATTAATTTGGACACTAGTAAATTAATACTACAGTATCATTGTCCCCTACAAAATGAAGCTATAACTAAAAAGGTAAGTAATCCTTTGAAACCCTCAATTATTACATAATAAAAGTTACTAAAATCAATCATGAAGCTTTCCTTTTTTCTAGACAAAAGCCAATCTCTGTCTAGATTTCTTTCTTGCTCTCAAAGTCCATGACCAGTTTTCCAACTGGAGAAGTCTTTTGCTACAAAGAAAAAAACTTTTTAACCACTTCATGAGATTTACTTATATATCCCAAAATAAGTTAACAAGAAAACAAAAGAGCCATGTAACAAATTGGAGATGCTAGGTTGTTCTAGGGATTATAACTTATTGATAGTTAACTTGCTCTTTAAAGAAAAAATTCCACTAATATTTTAGTTCTCGATGGTGGGGGAAAAATTGTTAACTTGAGATTTTCTCTGTTTTATGATGAGTTACTAAGTTACTAAATTAAGTTACTCAGTCCTACACACTGGCCACACCTTAGGAAAATTACATACTGCTACCTAACACAAACCTTTGGCCTTTCTCTCACAAAAAACATAAGACTGCCAATGTTAAACCCAAGAATCTACTGGATGTGATAGGACAAGCATCATGAAACAGTGATGAAAGAACTGAATGAATGGTATTACCACGCCCCAAAAAAAAAGCTACCTTATTTACCCAAATAAGCTCCACATTGATTTTAAGTATTAAAAAATTAATTGGAAGAACTATGCAGAAACAAAGTTCTCTTTCAAACCTGAGATCTAAGGCAAAACTGGAAAACACCTACTGACCAATTAAACTACGTAAACACAAAATTTCTACACCAGACATCTAAAGCTACATTTAAGATGAATAAACTAGGAAAGGAATTTTCATCAACTATGGCAAGTAACACATATAAAACATTTCTTTAAGTTCGAAGAATATCAAGACTATAGTAGATAAATAAGCTGAAAAGGCAAATAATTTATATGGGAAGAAACACAAGTTACAGTGTCATTTTTCACATCTCACCATAAACGTAAATGACAGAGAAAATCCCAAGTTAACATTTTTTCCCCACCATCCAGAACTAAAATATTAGTAGAATTCCTTCTTTAAAGAGTAAGTCAACTAAGTTATAACCTCTAAAACAAATTTTTTAAAAATCAAATGTCATTTAAAGAAATACCATCAGACTTGCTAAACAACATATTTCAAACATACTGATGATTAATATTTTTGTGCTTTTTCCCTCACTTACAACATCTTTTTAAAGCCTTTTCTCACTTATGGAAAAATTCACACAGCATCCTCCAGAACCAAAACATGAGGAGAAAAATATTCAGCACATTTTACCAATTAAAAAGTTAGGGACCAGATGTTATGACCTCATCTAACATCTCAAATTCAATTTAAGTATTAACTTTCCACAAAAAGCAAGGTTTCCATGATATTCAGTTCAGTGCCCTCAATACACTCAACACCTGACCCTATTATTTTAAAATTAAAAGCATGTGAAAAAAGGTGTCTTTTTGAGTTAAATACTCACACATTTTATAAACTCCAAACCCTTCATATCATTACTTAAAGGACTGGTTCAGGATTTTTAATTTCCATGGGAAAAAACCTGAATTTCAGGTAGAAAGCTAGAGAAAAATTACATAATTTCAAGTTCAAGGTCACCTTAGCCATTTGTATCAGTTTGCTAATGCCAGTTTTATTAGAAAATATTATTTATGAGCATTCCCTCCTTTGTATTTAATAATTTACGGCCTGCAGGCTCATGGGGCTCCATCTTGTGGTTTAAAGGGCTCGTAATAAATCTGAACTCATTTGCTTTGCTTAAATAGTAGAATGCCATCTTTAGCTGATACACTGGAGCAAAAAATTACCACCACTTTTTTTCACTTGCCCTCACTGTTAACGGTTTCAACTTCAAGCGACTGAGATCTTTGGTAACTAAATTAAGGAAACATAAATAATAACCTACCATGGTTTTCTACAGTATTTTAGCTTCTTCTTCCGATCCTTTTCCCTCTTTCTTGTCGTCTTCACTAGACACTGTTTTCTGTGACAGTACCTCCTCATAAGCCTGAGTCCCCTGACAGCTCAGAGTCAATACGGCAAAGGTGTTTGAAGACTTGTTCTCTAGAATACACCTGCAAAAGAAAAAGAAAAACAACTTTTCAAAAATGCTTATTTAGAATTAGTTTCATATCAGAGTGTGGAACCCATAAACGTGTTATTGACAAAAATGAAACAATCTTTATAGAGGAAAATTACTTCATTTTAAACAAAAAGCTAATACATCCTTTGAAGGCGTGGGCCCAAGAGCCTAAGTGATATGGCCAGAAAAATAACCCTCCTGGTAGCCATAATGTGGCAGCTGGCTGACTTGCACTCAATGAGATGAATACATTAACAGACAGAGATTCATTAAAGAAGTACAACCAGAAAAAGTAATACTACTACTGGTGGCAAAAATGTTGCAATTAACCATGAGATTTTCAATAGAAACTGGCATTAGTCAGACCTATCTGAAAAGTAGATAAGACACCTGAAAATATAACACTGTTGATTGTAACCATGAAGCTTTTCCATTTGATACTGCCATCAGATTTACAGCAAATGTTGGAACCACGTTTCATCTTTAATCATTTTAGGCCTAAAATTCAGAATGCTTTTTTGGCTCTGCTCCCCTAACCCCCAAGAGACCCTACTTCCCTCTCAACCTATATGCACTGTTATGCCAGACTCCTGAATATTCACTAAATCCTGATTTCATTACCCATGAATGACTCTCACCAGAATCCCACAGTATATTTCTGCCCAGAGGCCTAAACACCATTCTATTACCCCTTTGTTCCACTTTTATAAGATTTTATTCCAGATAAGGTAAAAAATAAGCTTTTCTGAGCACTGAAGTCCTTATATAAGCCCAGTGGTAAAAAAACAAAAAAACTAGAGAGAGACCATTAAAATAGAACATATGCCTTACATGGTTATCAGGAGTAACACACACCACAGGATATGTAAACACCCACAAAGAAAGAGCTCCCTCTTCATCTCAATATCTTTCCTTTAAATTCTCCCTTAAATAATGAAACCCCCTTTTACTTTTATTTATTTATTTTTTTGCAGTATGCGGGCCTCTCACTGTTGTGGCCTTTCCCGTTGTGGAGCACAGGCTCCGGACGCACAGGCTCAGCGGCCATGGCTCACGGGCCTAGCCGCTCCGCGGCATGTGGGATCTTCCCGGACCAGGGCACGAACCTGTGTCCCCTGCATCGGCAGGTGGACTCTCAACCACTGCGCCACCAGGGAAGCCCCCCCCTTTTACTTCTATCTACAATTATTTCCTATCAGTTGCTCTCTTAAAGAAAAAAATCCTTTTTGAATTCTTGGGACCAGGAAAGTTAAAGGTGACATTTAACTCTCCCCAATACTACAAATGAAAAAACAGACCCACATTTACAGTCAAATGATACTCAGTTGTGACCTACATGCAACACTATTCATATCTTATAATAACCAACTTCCCTGACTCTGACTTAACAAAATCCACCTGAAATAAGCTAGTGAAGATTGATTTTTTTAAAATTATGTAACAACGAATAGATAGAACTTACGTTGATTACTACACATATCAAATCAAGGTAAGGAGGGAACACATAATGCTGCAATTCATAAGGTCCTTTTATATAACAAAGCTAAGAAACAAACTAAAACATGATCCCATGGTAAGAGATATCTCAAAGATCCTCCTGTCACTAAAATTATACCTTTTGTATAAAGATCGCACTATACAATTTAGAGTCTTTGGCACTTCCCATTCCCAACCCTACTCCATTCTAGAAGATTCAACCATTCAGTACTTAGCTGTGAATCCTGCAGCCAAAGATTGCTGCACTGATGAGAACTGAACTAAACTGCTCACAGGTGAGAACTGAAAACAAAGTCCACAAGCTGCTCGCTATAAAAAGGTAAAACCAATAAGTCAAACATATTAAGAAAGTTGACTGAAAGCAGAAAAAGAGGGAAGAATGTTAAGTAAAAGCTGATGTAGTGGAGAAACAGTGGATCACCAATAGCACTTTTCAGTCATCAGTATGGAGAGTAACCACCCTACCTATACATCAAGAAGCTCTGGGCTCATTCTTGCCGCTTTTATTCAACATAGTTTTGGAAGTCCTAGCCACAGCAATCAGTGAATAAAAAGAAATAAAAGAAATCCAAACTGGAAAGGAAGTAAAACCGTCCCTGTTTGCAGATGACATGATACTATATATGGAAACCCCTAAACATATCACCAGAAAACTACTAAAGCTCATCAGTGAATTTGGTAAAGTTGCAGGATACAAAATTAATACGGAAATCTGTTGCATTCCTATACACTAACAATGAAGTAACAAAAAGAGAAATTAAGGAAACAACCCCATTTACCGTCACATCAAAAAGAATAAAATACCTAGGAATAAATCTACCTAAGAAGGCAAAAGACCTGTACTCTGAGAACTACAAGACACTGATGACAGAAACTGAAGATGACACAAACAGAAAGATATACCATGTTCTTGGATTGGAAGAATCAATACTATTAAAATGGCCATACTACCCAAGGCAATCTACAGACTCAATACAATTCCTATCAAATTACCAATGGCATTTTCCACAGAACAAAAAATTTTTTAATTTGTATGGAAACACAAAAGACCCCGAATAGCCAAAACAATCTTGAGAAAGAACAGAGCTGGAAGAATCAAGTTCCCTGGCTTCCGACTATGCTACAAAGCTACAGTAATCAAAACAGTATGGTACTGCCACAAAAACAGACGCATAGATCAATGGAACAGGGTAGACAGCCCAGAAATAAACCCACGCACTTATGGTCAGCTAATGTATGACAAAGGAGGCAAGAATATTCAATGGAGAAAAGACAGTCTCTTCAGTAAGTGGTGCTGGGAAAACTGGACAGCTGCATGTAAAACAATAAAATTAGAACATTCTCTAACACCATACACAAAAATAAACTCAAAATGGATTAAAGACCTGTATATAAGACTGGATACTATAAAACTCCTAGAGGAAAACATAGGCAGAACGCTCTTTGACATAAATTGCAGCAATGTTTTTTTGGATCCGTCTTCTGAAGTAAAGGAAATAAAAGCAAAAATAAACAAATGGGACCTAGTTAAACTTAAAAGCTTTTGCATAGCAAAGGAGACCATCGACCAAACGAAAAGACAACCTACTGAATGGGAGAGAATATTTGCAAACCATATGATGGATAAGGTGTTAATAACCAACATATGTAAATGGCTCACACAACTCAATATCAAATAAACAACCCAATTTAAAAGCGGCAGAAGAAATGAATAGACATTTTTCTAAAGAGGAAATGCAGATGGCCAACAGGCACATGAAAAGATGCTCAACAGAGCTAATCATCAGTGAAATGCAAATCAAAACCACAATGAGATATCATCTCACACCTGTCAGAATGGCTATCATAACAAAGAACACAAATAACAAATGTTGGCGAGGACGTGGAGAAAAGGGACCCCTCAAACACTGTTGGAGGGAATGTAAACTGGTGCAGCCACTGTGGAAAACAGTGTAAAGGTTTCTCAAAAAACTAAAAATAGAACTACCTTATGACCCAGCAATTCCAGTCCTGGGAATACATCTAAAAAAACCCAAAAACACTAATTCGAAAAGATACACACACCCGAATGTTCATAGCAGAATTATTTACAATTGCCAAGATATGGAAGCAACGTAAGTGTCCACCAACAGATGAATGGATAAAGAAGATGTGGTATATATGTACTCGGCTGGCCAAAAGGTTCGTCTGGTTTTTTCCCATAAGACGGCTCTAGTAGCACTTAGTTGTCTTTAACTTCATTCAAAACAATTTTGTTAGATTGTATGCGACAGCTGTCACATCAGCTTGCATTTAAAAAAAGACTTAAGGAGACACAGGTTTGAGCCCTGGTCCCAGAGGATCCCACATGCCGTAGAACAACTAAGCCTGTGTGCCACAACTACTGAGACTACACTCTGAGAAGCTCATGCACTGCAACAAAGAGTAGCCCCCGCTCTCCACAACTAGAGAAAGCCCACACGCAGCAGTGAAGACCCAACGCAGCCAATAAATAAATAATTTAAAAAATTAAAAACACTTGGAGTTTTAAATAAAGACTTATCAAAATGGGTGAATTTTGTGTAGCCATTTTAATACTGAAGATGGAAGAAAAAAGCAACATTTTTAGCATATTATGCTTTATTATTTCAAGAAAGGTAAAAACGCACTGAAACGCAAAAAAGAAAAAAGATTTGTGCACTGTATGGAAAAGGTGCTGTGACTGATCAAACGTGTCAGAGTGGTTTGCAAAGTTTCGTGCTGGAGATTTCTTGCTGGACGATGCTCCACGGTCAGGTAGACCAGTTGAAGTTGATAGTGATCAAATCGAAACAATACTTGAGAACAGTGAACATTATACCACATGGGAGATAGCGGACATACTCAAAGTACCCAAATCAAGCGCTGAAAATCATTTGCACCAGCTTGGTTATGCTCATCACTTTGATGTTTGGGTTCCACATAGGTTAAGCGAAAAAAACCTTCTTGACCGTATTTCTGCAGCAATTCTCTACTTAAACATAATGAAAACGTTCCGTTTTTAAAACAAATGTGATGGGTGATGAAAAGTGGATACTGTACAATAATGTGGAATGGAAGAGATCATGGGGCAAGTGAGATGAACCACCACCAACCACACCAAAGAAGGCGATGTTGTGTATATGGAAGGGAGTCCTCTATTATGAGCTCCTTCTGGAAAACCAAATGATTAATTCCAACAAGTACTGCTCCCAATTAGACCAACTGAAAGCGGCACTTGACGAAAAGTGTCCAGAATTAGTCAACAGAAAACGCATAATCTTCCATCAGGATAACACAAGACTGCATGTTTCTTTCATGACCAGGCAAAAACTGTTACTGTTTGGCTGGGAAGTTCTGATTCATCTACCATACCCATCAGACATTGAATCTTCGGATTTCCATTTATTTTGGTCTTCACAAAATTCTCTTAATGGAAAAAAATTTCAATTCCCTGGAAGACGATAAAAGGCACCTGGAACAGTTCTTTGCTCAAAA